GGTAAACCTTTGATAAGGCCTAGCTTATGGCTTAAGCCTAGCTAGTATTTAGAACTAGCCCAGGGCCTTGCCATAATTTTGGCTATTGTTTCCTATATATTTTGTTCAGTCTTCATGTATATATTATTTTTAAGTGCAATTAATCTTTCTTTTTTTATTTATTTCATACTGTATTATTTAAATATAGTTAAGCATCAAGGAAACCAAATTTCATGTTTTGTAGTCATGGCAATAAAGTTTACCTTATCTTATCTTATTTTATGTTAATTAGAGGGTTAACTTTGTGTTAACATAATGCTGGTGTATATTTGGTTCTTTGAAAAAGTGGTCTGAATTTATACATACATACATATATACTGTCTCTTATACACATCTAGATGTGTATAAGAGACAGCAATATAGCAGTGACTAAGATAAATTGTAAATGATATGTATAATTAGACCGGATTATAAAGGGCGGTAACAACAAAGAAAATAAAGATAAACGAAAGGGCTAATCAGCCGAATGTAGGCCTATGATATCACTAGCATGAGCCAATGAAAATGAAATATAACAAGTTAAATAGTGTATAAAGGATGAATAAAATGTATCAAGATGGATGAATGCATTGATCAAAAAAGAAAATGAAAATTGTAATCTGTGAGAAATCCTAAATCTTTATTTACGCCATTTTTGTGAGTATTCAATTTTAAGATCCATTTCAATTCGCAACAACGTCTGTCGGTGAGGGAATTAAAACCCGTACTTACTAAAATGAACTTAAGATTAGAGATACAATGGTTGGCTTGGTTAAAATGCTTAGCTACAGGAAAGCCTAGTGTATTGTCTCTAATAGATTTTTTATGATTATTGCATCTTAGTCTAAACTTGCAACCAGTTTCCCCGACGTATATAGTATCTATGCATTGGGTACACCAAATAGGATATATGACATTTGAGGCGTTGCAAGTGAGCGATGGTGGGTGTATGGTTAAGTGGCGGATGTTGATGGTGTCGTCTGTAATAAGAAGCGTACAAATTTGGCATCGTGAATTACCACAAGGGTAATTACCAAATTTAATGGTGATAGTGGGAAGTTTAGATGAAGTTAATAGTGAATTAAGGTTTGGAGGTTGTCGGTATGCTATGAGAGGTGGTGATTTGAGTGCTTCTGAATTTGATGTGCAGTCAGAAAGAATGCGAAAATGTTGGGTGATAGTTTTGGCGAGATGTTGGATTCGGGGGTTGTAGTCGAGGACAAGGTGTATGCGAATAGAATTCGACTTGGCTTTATATTCAAGGAGTTGCTGGCGTAATTTAGACGAGGCCTTAATAATTAATGGTTTGATCAGTTTCATGGGGAAATTGCTGAGTCTTAATTTGTGGATGAGAGTGTTAATATGTTTATCGAATTCGGTAATGGTGGAGCAAATTCGTTTTATTCTGAGCGCCTGACTATATATTATGGATTTTTTGAGTTTTATGGGATGAGCGCTATTGAAGTTGAGATATCTGTGGTTGTCTGTGGGCTTGGTGTAAACTGTTGTTGTGACTTCATTCTCTTTAAACCAACCAGTAGAGTGTTATCTGGGAAGCTGGGACTGGATAGCAGAGTCCCAGCTTGCGGATTCATCTTTTTACGAACTGCTTAACTCCGACCTATCCTGTTCATATAAAAAAGAACTTAAGACTTTAGTTAGCCAATTACATCCTGATCTCAAGCCTAAGGTAAGCAACCTCGTCCCCGACAATCCTACACAGGGTACTTTCTACACCATACGAAAATACATAAATTACCTAAACTTATAACTAACAAAATTAATTCCACACCTAACCTACAAGACACAATTAATACCGCCAAATTGAGCCCAGCCAACATTTTCACACTTGCCAAAGACCTCCATATCACCACGCGAGGAAGACCTATCATTTCGGGTATTATTTCTCTTACCGAACACATTTTGGGTTTTATGGACAGTATCCTCAACCCACTACTCCCGAACATAAAAAGTCACATACAAGACACCACGCACTTTCTTCGCAAACTCCAAGAGATAACACACATACCAGATAACACTCTACTGGTCACCATGGATGTCACTGGCCTTTATACTAACATCCCCCATAATGAAGGTCTAGATGCTTGCACATTCTTTCTTAATGAATTTTATCCTACACCTTACACATCTGATATTATTTCACTAATCGACTTTATTCTAACCCACAATCATTTTAAATTTAATAATTCTAACTATCGCCAAATTAAAGGCACAGCTATGGGTACTAAAATGGCCCCCTCGTACGCCAACATTTTTATGGACTATTTTGAAAACAAACACATCTACACATACCCTCTCCAACCTTTATTTTACGGCCGCTATATCGATGACATCTTCTTTATTTGGCCACATGGATCTGACACACTCAACTCATTCATTTCCCACATAAATAACTCACATCACAGCATCAAGTCCACCACGGAAAACTCTTACTCAAAAATCCCATTTTTAGATGTATCAGTTGGTTTAAAAGAGAATGAAGTCACAACAACAGTTTACACCAAGCTCACAGACAACCACAGATATCTCAACTTCAATAGCGCTTATCCCATAAAACTCAAAAAATCCATAATATATAGTCAGGCGCTCAGAATAAAACGAAATTTGCTCCACCAATACCGAGTTCGATAAACATATTAACACTCTCATCCACAAATTAAGACTCAGCAATTTCCCCATGAAACTGATCAAACCATTAATTATTAAGGCTTCGTCTAAATTACGCCAGCAACTCGTTGAATATAAAGCCAAGTAGAATTCTATTCGCATACCCCTTGTCCTCGATTACAACCCCCGAATCCAATATCTCGCCAAAACTATCACCCAACATTTTCGCATTCTTTCTGACTGCACTTCATCAAATTCAAAATCACTCAAATCACCACCTCTCATAGCATACCGACAACCTCAGGGGCGGATCCAGAAATGTCCAAAAGGGGGGGGGGGCGGAAGTGGGGCCGAAAGTTGGGCCGATTGAGACAACACCTGTCTCTTATACACATCTAGATGTGTATAAGAGACAGGTGTATGCGAATAGAATTCGACCTGGCTTTATATTCAAGGAGTTGCTGGCGTGATTTAGACGAGGCCTTAATAATTATGGTTTGATCAGTTTCATGGAGAAATTGCTGAGTCTTAATTTGTGGATGAGAGTGTTTATATGTTTATCGAATTCGGTACTGGTGGAGCAAATTCGTATTATTCTGAGCGCCTGACTAAATATTATGGATTTTTTTAAGTTTTAGTAAAATTTATTAAGAAAGAATTTGCAAGCATCAGATTTTCATTATGGGGGATGTTAGTATAAAGGCCAGTGACATCCATGGTGACCAGTAGAGTGTCTGTCTCTTATACACATCTAGATGTGTATAAGAGACAGCCGGGAGACAATCCCCTACTCTTTTCCGAAGAGTGTGCT